ATATTTTTCTTAATATTTAAACAAATGCAAACATAAATTCCTATTTCTATTTTTCATAGATTTCTATTTCCCCCCTTTTTGTACAAATGATTGCATCTTACATCACTTACTTTTTCACATAGTTTATCTTGTAAATATTTTCATACAAGTACATAAAATTGGAAATAAACTAGTGTTAATTATGTTCAGGGTTTCTATTCTAACTGCTTTATGTATTTTAACAGCCTTAATCTTTTCTGTCAAACCCTCTGAGATGGTACTCTTGTTAGCCTCATTTTAAAGGTGAGTACACTAAGGCTTAGAGACTGTTTGCAAGCTGCCCAGGGTTATACATATACTCAAATGACAGAACCACGATTTGATCTTATGTTGTCAATATTCCTATCTTCCTCTTCTTTAAAAAATTGTATAGTCTTCCATTTTATGCTTTCACCAGGATATATTCAATCAGTTTCATACTGTTGGGTAGTTTTTTTTTTTCCTCTTTGTGATCACTAACATGGGAATGAATACCATTTTATGTCAGTCACTTTAAACACATGTCAGTTTGTTTTTGTAGAATAAATTTCTACAAATGAAACTATTAGATCAAAGATTTTAATTTGTAATTTTGATAGATCTTACTAAATATTCTTTCATATAATATGTTTGCATTCCACCAGTATTAAAAAAGCATCTATATACCACAATTTTTTCACAGAAGTGAGTCAGCAAACTTTCAACTTTTTGCCTATTTAGGAGGCAAAAATGGCATAATTTTTCAGCATTTCTTTTTTAATAAATGAGTTTAAGCACTTTAAAAAGATTGCGTAAGTTTTTGTACTTTCTTTTCTCAGAACCTTCTGTTTTTAGTCTATTTTTTTGTTGATATGTTAATCTTCTGTGAAGTAATTTTTGAGCTCTTTTTACATTAGAAAAATTCTTTACTATCTGGATATGAAGTACAAAAGTTTATCTCTTGGTTATTTTGTTTTGATTTTACTTACTGTTTTGCTATGCAGAAATGTTTTACTCTTGTGTAGAAAATAATTTTTTCTTTCATGGCATCTGGATTTCAAACCATAGTTTCAAAGTCCTTTACTACCCCAGGCATACAAATTAATTAATTCACATAACATATATGGTTTATGTTTTAGATTTAAATTTTTAATTCATTTGGAATTTTGCTGGTGTGTCCTGAGAAGTATGGGTTCAAGTATATTTTATAGAAAGCTGTCCAATTGTGCCAACAATATTTACTGGCTTAAGCACTACTTTTAGATTTTAGATGTTTTCATATGCTAAACTCTTTTTTTTTTTTTTTTTTTTTTTTGAGACAGAGTTTCGCTCTTGTTACCCAGGCTGGAGTGCAGTGGCACGATCTCGGCTCACCGCAACCTCCGCCTCCTGGGTTCAAGCAATTCTCCTGCCTCAGCCTCCTGAGTAGCTGGGATTACAGGCACGTGCCACCATGCCCAGCTAATTTTTTGTATTTTTAGTAGAGACGGGGTTTCACCATGTTGACCAGGATGGTCTCGATCTCTCGACCTCGTGATCCACCCGCCTCGGCCTCCCAAAGTGCTGGGATTAGAGGCTTGAGCCACCGCGCCCGGCCGCTAAACTCTTAATTGTATTTTTATCTGTTTTCTGATGTTTTTGCTCTGTGTCACGTTGTGTTAATTACAGGATGTATATGATGTTTTAATATGCAACATGACTAATTTATTGTCTTCTTTTCAGTTTTTCTATTTGTATTTGCTTATTTTCCAATAAAAATTTAGAATTAGTTCTTCTAGTTGAAAAAAAAAAACAGTGAACTTTGAGATCACATTATATGTTTATTAGGACCTTATTTTCTTATATTGTATACATTCATCAAAATGATCTTTTGTATAATTCAGAAGTAATTTAAAGTTATTCATATGCCTTTAATATTTCTTAACTTTAGTTCTAGCTATTTTATCTTTTTTTTTTTTGCTATTGCAAATTATTTTTTCAATTGTATTTTCTAACAGTTTATGCTAATAATTTGTTATGTCATTACCAAAATTATACTAATTATATATCGAGGTCATACTATTTTTGTATATTCAATATTTTATCACCTAATTCAAATACCATATTACATGTATTAAACTAGATGTTTTTAACTAGATGTTTTAAACTAGATGTTTGGCATGTTGTGGCTCACACCTTGTAATCCTAGCACTTTAGGGAGCTGAGTGGGAGGACACATTGAGGCCAGGAGCTGGAAAGCAGCCTGGTTAACTTAATGAGACCCCATCTCTACAAAAAAAAATTAAGAAATTAGCCAGACATTGTGGCACATGCCTGTAGTTCTAGCTACTTGGAAGGCTGAGGCAGGAGGATCACTTGAGCCCAGGAGATTGAGGCTGCAGTGAGCTATGAAAGTGCTACTGCAGTCTAGCCTGAGTGAAAGCAAAACCTAATCTCAAAAATAGTCCCATATTTTTGTGGTTTATTAGATGATACGATCTGCATCTACTGATAGTCTGAATTAATTAATTCTGATTTTCATACTTACAATGTTCTTTTGTCTAATTTTATTATCTAGTAATTCTCGAACAATGTTAAATAATAATGTGGATAGAGGACAATCTTTTTTACTTTAGCGGGGAAATATCTGGTATTTGCCATTAAGAATGTTGGTCTTTGGATTGAGATAGTTATGCTAAGGAAAAGTCTGAATTTTAAAACTGATTAACTGCTTTTGCCAAGAATTTTTATTGAATGTTGTCAAATAACTTTACAACCTCTATTGACATAATCAAATAGTTGTTTTTCATCTGTGATATGATTAATATATTACTTAACATTGGACTGTTTCTGCACTATTAGAATAAATAAATCTTGCCTTTAAGATGTATTATTTTTTAACATGCTGCTAGATTCTGCTTTCTCATATTAGAATTTTTTCATTGACAGGCATAAGTGGTATTGGTCTGCACTCTCTTTTTGAAGACTAACATCATCACACATTGAAATATTCAGTTTGTAAAATTATTTCACAATTTTTCCTTCTCTTACCAGTCTGTGAAGCAGTCTAACATTTCAATTTTGGCTCATGGAAGGTTTGGTAACATTTCTCTTTGAAGCCTCCTGACCTTCTAATTTGGTGGAATACTCTGACAAATTGATCTACGGGGATTTGTCTGTTAAAATGTTCTAATTCTTGATAATATTAGGAGAAATACCTAACGTAGATAACAGGGGTACAGATGCAACAAGCCAACAAGGCATGTGCATACCTATGTAACAAATCTGCACGTTCTGTATATGTACTCCTGAATTGAAAGTATAACATATATACATATGAAACCAAAAGCAATGCAAAAAAAAGTTCTAATTCTTTAAGAGTCTCTTTTTGTAAATTCAAAATTTGCCAGAAAATTATATGTATTTATCCTCGTTTTCAAATTTACTTTGGATATGTAAAGTTTATGTAAAGTTTCTTAATGATTCATTAAAATTTGAAGTATCATTATTAACACCATATCTGAAGCCAGAAAACTGAATTTGGTACAACATTGAAGTCCAATTTACATAATTAGGAGGTAGAACCAGGCCTTTTGACTCATTCTGGCTCCATTTCTCTGAACCTCATTGCGCGTTCCTCCCCATCCACCCTCTCAGTCCCACCCACGATTTCCAGCTGCCTGACAATGTAGGGCACTGAAATGTAAAGTTGTTGTCAGGTGCTGATAAGAGTCCCATGAAAATAATGTTTCTTTTGTTATTACAGCATTATTTGTCCTGTCAAATTTCCTCACTGAAGATAAATTCTGGCCATCCTTTACTAAAATTAAGCAGCCTCAATGTAACTAAGGAGACACTGATCAAAATGACATCCTGTCATATTAAAGGAAATGATTTCTTCTTTAAAATTAAAAAAATACAAATTAGACTCTGTTGCTTTGTTGCAACCTTTGCAATGGAGTAACTGCAGGTAGAGAGTATAACTCAATACAACCAGCTAAAGATGTACTTAAGAAAAAGCATTTCGCAGAAGAATTTGCTAGATCATGTTATTCTTCACCCAGAGTGGAAGGGTGTATTGCAATCGAATTCTGATTAAAAATAGTAAATATAACCAGTCTATTATTTAGAAGAGACAGTCTTGGAAACACGAAGGTTTATGGCATGGATTTTGACATATCAATTTATTTTAGTTTTTAGACTGACAAAAAAATTGATTCTGCTGAGAAAAGCATAATTGAGTATCTTTTGTATGTATAATAAAATGACCAATTCTGCTCCACTATTAGTGCCAGGCAATTTCTAATCCTGCAACCAAGAACACAGAACACAGAACACAGTATAGTCTCTTATGAACCTGAACTTGCCATCATTCATTACGGGCTTAACGTATGAAGCTGAATAGAATGACACCATAGGGAGCCTACAGTATCTCTCCAACTCCACTGTACACTATTCCTGCTTGTTTACTAAGTTTCAGCCACTCTGGCTGACTTTTCAGTTCCTTTTATGTATTCAATTTTACCTGCCTCAGGACCTCTGTCTTAGCTGTCTTTCTCTCATTGGGGTAAGCTTTTTAAAGATCTTTGTATAGTTAGCTCTTTGTCATAATTCAGATCTCAGCTAAAATGCCACCTTCTCAGAGATGTATTCCCCAACCACACTCATTATTGTCCTGAATAAAAAATAAGTGACAATAATCTACACTAGGCATTGGACCTCTGAAGAGTATTTAAGCTCAAGGTAAAGGAAGTTTTGAATGCAGAGTTTTTTTAAAGTCCCTGGTTTTGTAATGTGTTTGAAATGAGAATGGTTTACAATTAAGAGTCCATTTCAAATGGCCTTATCAAAAGTACTGGGTTTTTTCATAAAAATTAATCTCATAAAAGCCTAGTATTTTAAAGCATCAATTTAAAAGGCTTATATAAGACAGAACAAATTTGTTTTTAAAACTTTCATGTTTTATCATTGACATTACAAATGTTTCTACACTCATAATGCATTACATTTTTTAAAAAATTCAGTCTCCTTAGAGATTATCAAAAATTGCCAATGCTGACTACATCTCAAGTCGTCATGGCGAGGTATTGGGAAAAGTTTTCAATTAGCAATAATCACACCTCAGATAAAACTCATTGGCTATGATACTACCACTGTGCAAAGCTGCATTACATTTTTCATGCATTTTACAATCTTGCATTAGAAATTCACCTCACTCATCTGCAGAGATGTTGATGAAAACCTCAGAAGGCATCTTATTCATCTAAATATCATCCAATTAGGCAAAAGATTGCATCATATCTATACGTAGTATTAGCTTTTCTACTATAATATAAACTACATTATAAAGATCATGCTTTCTTTTTTGTCAATTAATAATCCTAGTACCACAAAAGTTATGACATGCCATAAAAGTATGATAGGGGTATCATCCATAATATTATTGTTGTTTCATAATAGAAATAAGAAATACATACATAAAAGAATTAATGACTTAGATAGCCTGATATTCAGAAATAAATACTAATAACATTAGAGAAGTTGTCATAAGAAAACATTTTAATTGTGTAAAGAACAAAATCCTGGACTGAGGAGGAAACAACATGGGTTAAACTTATCAGAGAAAATTTCAGAGGATTGTTGGGATATAACTAGAGATATTAAATGAGGATGAGATATGGATAAGATAAAGAGGAAATTTGCTTCCTAGATCTTTTAAGAGTTGGTGTATACTCAAAGTTACATATTAATATATTCTACCTATAGATTTAAATGTTGATGATGTGTGCACAAATATACAAGAACTCACATATATGGCTGACTTTGTTTCTATTAGAAGCAATAAATTACTAAATTTGGAAGCAGCACAAAACTCAACCCAATCGAACTATCATCTACTCTGTTACTGAATTCAGTGAGGTCTGTTCTGTGTTATGCTTTCCTCTGGAGCAAAGTGCTTGTAGAAGCTAATTTCCTGTTAACCAGAGGTTATTATCTTAATGTCTCTATTTGGAACTATGCTCATATCCTTGTGCTTAGCAGAAGTCTACCAGCTGGACAAGTGGGACTTTATTATATAATAAAAGTAAAGTGTTAATTTGTCTTAGAAATAAAATGCATAGATTGTTTCATCTTATAAATATTCATCTTTAATAGCATAATTCAAGAATCACAATTTATGAGTACCTTTATAAGATCAAGGTTAAAGAAATTACTAAAACACCAATACAAATGAGAAATTTACATGAATGGTCTTCTGAGTAAATCTTTCCAAATGGTTAATATTTTAATTCTTATATTTTGGTATCTTTTACTATTCATAATTCAATCAGAAAATATATGTACCTTTTAATTCTATAATAGTTTGATCTGTACTTTAAATTACCTGCCTGCATGTAAGTGGAATTTTTTCTAGTAGTCTATAAAACAGAGATTATATTCCCCTTATCTCACTTTTTCTAAGAATATGTTAATGCAGACTATAATTCTTAGGCAAAGCTAAACAGCTTAGACTAAAAATAAGTATAATTAAAAACTAAACAGTATTTTAAATAAGCTTCAGTTACATATAAAAAGCTTTTTCTTAACTATGAAAATGAGATTCAGATCTAAACTTGTATTAATAGATATAATCCTTTATTATTACACTGTATAATTCAAATTCTATTTCATCTCATAAATGGAATTCCCAAATAAACAGATATTTGTGAAACGCCGTTCTTTGAAAATGAATATATTTTGACCTTTGAAAATCTGCAAATATAACAAAATCCTTACTTGATCACATAAGAATGTTTTTTTTTTTTTGCTGTCCTTGTTGATAACTACAATATAGCAATTTATATACATAAGATATCTAATTAATATACAGTATTGGATATATTATTATTTTACTATTATATATCTAGTTTAGCAGCCAAATTTGATTATATGTAACCTTAAAGCTCCTCTTGCCAAAACCTAGCATACAGTGTTACAACTATTATTCATGTTGTTTGAACAAATGTATAATCTTGGCAATAAGTATTTTATTATTTAAATTAATATCATCTTAAATGCAAAGTATAATGCAAAGAAATCCAACTAATTGAATCATTTAGTTAGTTTAATTCAACTCACATTTTTGAGCATATGTCATGTAGCCCATAATGGGCTAGTATAAGAGATATACACATGTTTTTATTATCCTCAGGTTGTTCATAGTCTAGGGGAGGAGAATGAAACATCAGAAATAACTGCAATTTCCCATAGTAAGTGTCATGACAGATGTGTACCCATGGCTGCACATAGGGGGCCCATTTTGTCAAGACTAAGTGAGGGTTGCACGGGAGTAGAGATGCTCTGAATTGAATGTTAAAAGGTGGCAATGATTGGGACAATTAGTTCTGGTTTGTGTGGTGTGGGGAAAGAGAACCAATAATCCAGAATGAGGGAGCAACTTGTAAAAAAGACTGGAGGTAAGAAACAACTTGAGGTGTGCTGAGAATTGTAGGAGTTTCATGTTGCTAGAGCAACCACTTCCATGGCTCTTAAATTTTTGTTTCCAAGTCTGGAAGGCAATATAGCAATTAAGCTTTGGAATCAGACAAACCTGTGATCGAATCACACTAGTTGTCTGACATATTCGGGATCTGACTTGGGGAAAGTTATATATTTTTTCTAAGCCTCACTTGCCTCATCCATAAATATGGATAAGAATTCCTTATTCCCAAGGTGCCTATAAGGATTAAAAGAGATAATGTGATGTTTATGATGTCTTAAGACAGTGTCTTAAGACACTGGATTTTCCATTAATAGTATCCTTGACCTTATTCATGCTAGTATTCTATACAGTTGATGCCTAAGTAGGGTATTTTAGGAGTTCCTTAGAGGACCTTGATATCAAGATCAAAATCATGTTACTTGTACTGCATGAACAAGGATTTTTTTCCTCTCTTTCATGATTATGGCAGATATCCCTAAGCCTACAAGGTATGCATGATTTTTAACTTGAAAAAGACTGCGAGTCTATTGTTCTTGCTAGAAAACAGCAGTAATGTTACCTACATTTGTATTTTACTGTTTTAAAGCACTTTCACATAAAACCTCTGAAAAATATGTGATAAAGTACTACTGAAATTATTCCCATTTGGTAGGTAGTAAACTAATCAAGTTAAGATCAGTAAATTACTCACTCTGGAGTCTCACTCTATGCACATCAATCATACCACCTTAGTAGATGAGAAACTTAATAGTATTTGGATTTATTATTCTTGTTTGCCACTATGATGCTGCCAACATAAGGTAATATACAGTTATGCAAATTCATCCCATTATGTATGGCATATCACTGGTTTGTGGTGATTAAATTATATTAAAGGTGTATCATGTGCAGATGTGCACACCAGGGCTAACAGACAAACACAAACAGCAGCTTAAAGCTTAGAAAACGAGCATGTTTTGTCTGTATTTGCTTTAAACTAGCAGCCTATCTTTAATTTCCACTACAACAAATATTTATGGAGCTTCAGTTATGTACGAGACATTATACTAAGTAGCAATGAGACATACAAATATAATGGTCAGCCTTAAGCAACAGAGAGCTATTAGGAAGTTAGATAGGAAAAACGAATAACTGTAACAGGCTATATACAAGGTATATTGCTTTATAGCTATATAAAAATGCTGTAAAGCTAATGCCCTAGCATGGAAAAACCAGAAACCTAGGAAAAGTAGAGTTGTTTCTGAAGAAGAGAGAAAAGACGTACATGACATCCTATCCACAAACAAGCAGAAAACAGTATTTGCATTATTGAAGACATACCCACTTATATGCATCAACTGACACAAATATAATGCTGAGACAACTTCCCTGGGATAATAGTAGTCATTTTTAAAATGCACCACCTTTTACACTCCATTACCAGTCCCTCTGAACCTTAATTTTGCAGTCTAGTGGTAACTCAGCAAGCTACTTAGAGGCTGAAATTGTTCCAAGGTTAAAGAGTCAGAATCTCCAGGTGCTAAGGTTGTCTCAGGAAATAATTCTAGATCCAATTAACTTCAGGATGTAAGGCACTCATGTGTATTTGTTCTAAATTTCTAAGTAAAATCGTTTATAATGTTTGACTTTTTTCCACCAGATAAACTGGCTCCAACAAGACCAGGAGATTGTGATATAACCTTACTTGGGCTATTTAATGTCACAAACTATCAAAGAAGGAAGAAATTCCAAACCCTGGCTAGCCCTTGTGGTTAACGTACTTTGAGGTCTTATCCACCCCCACTGCCCAAACAATATGTTATCCTGTGTTTGACTAAGTGCATCTAAAATAATGCCCTGGAAGCTTCAGCAAAACAATTAGCAGTATCTTATGCTTCTCAAATCCTGCAGAAAATTTCAGGGAAGATGTGAAGGTGCAGGTTCTTTAAATTCAGTGCCTTTTCTAGACTTTGGATCCATGAGAGTTGGAAATATTATTTTATCCTTTCAGTTTTTCTGCAGATACTTGTTGATTTAGACACAGCAATACATACATACACATCTCCCAAGGGCAGATGTTGACTCAAAAACAGTAATTTCTAAACAAGATTTAATCCCATAAAGAGACAAAGAAACACTTTCTTAGCTATCCCTTAATTTGCAAAGTAATATTTTTCATTGTGATAATTTTGCTCGAGGATATGAATAAACATTGTGTTCAGTCATCTTCTCCAGTTCTTTCCAACTTTGCTATGTAAAGCCTGCTAGGCGTAAGAAGCATCTTCCTTGTGCTAAGCTACATACTTGATGATGTTTGCTTTCTTAACTCCACATAGACCTAGTTGAAATGTTGAGTTTTATGCTTTGGGGCACCTAATCAAATTCACAAACAGAACCACATTCCTTCCTGTCTCTGGCTAAGAGTGGTAGTATGGTGTTATTCATTTGGTTACTCCTTCATTAGTTTGCTTTCGTTCTATTACTGCTTTCGAATTTTTTCTAACCTATGACATTGTGATATTTCCTAATGCACTAAGTGTAAGTCTACTCTGTTTTGTCATGTAACTGTCCACTTAACCGCACTGCAGGCCTATTGCTTTGTGTATGTTAGTCTTGTTCTCCTGACCAGACAAAGCAATATTTAAGAACAGAAACTGAAATTAATACTTTCAGCATTCTCTAGAGCATCTAGGAGCATCAGCA